CTACGACGACGACGACTACTACCATCACGTCGTGCCGGGAATGTAGAACAGCTGTTTGAAAAGCAAATCTGGTTCAACTTGGCAATCCTGCAATCTTGGTCATCTTGCTCGGCCGCTGGTCATCTTGGTCATCTTGCAATCTTGGTTATCTTGCCCCACTTGCTCGGCCGCCCGCCGGCTAGTTAACATCTTAGGCCAAGATTGCCAAGGTTGCACGGCAGTCTTGTGCCCCCACCCCCCAAGTGGGGCAAGCGCGGCAAGATTGCAAGATTTCTGGCAATCCTCTTCGGATAACTGTTCTAAATTCCTGGCCCACTGTACTGCCACCACTACCTGTACTAGTATCACCACTACTACTACTACTACTACTACTACTACTCCTCCTACTTCTCCTACTACTGCTGCTGCTGCTGCTGCCGCTGCTACTACTACTACTACTACTACTACTACTACTACTATTGCTTCCACAATTTCTACTCCTACTGCTACTACTGCTGCTATTGCTACTACTACTACTACTACTACTACTACTACTACTACTACTTCTACTACTACTACTACTGCTGCCACTGCTACTACTACTAGTACTACTACGACTACTGCTGCCACTACTACTGCAACTGCGACTGCTACTGGTACTGTGGCTGCAACAACAACTACTAATGCCACTACCACAAAATCAACAAGAGTAACTACCCGCTACTATCACTAATACTGTGACTATTGCTATTATTGCGGTTTTGACTCTATGAAGAGTACTATTGATATCATAGTTGCTGTTGCTGTTGCTATTGCTGTTGCTATAGCTATTGCTATCGCTACTGCTGCTGCTGCTGCTGCTGCTGCTGCTGCTGCTGCTACCAGCACGACTCCTACAGCTACTGCTGCATGCGCAACGTATTCCGGGTCTCTAATGCATCTGGCGGTTCGATGATTCTTTCGCAGTCTCCTGACCCTGGTGTTAGTACTATGTGTCGATAGACTTGCTAGGGGATGCGCGCCCCGGAATCCTTTCGGAACCCTTAATCCGTTGCTCTCCACTCAGAAAAGCCAGCCCATGGCAACCGAGGTGCGTGGTTACCTACGAGATGATCGAGCGAGCCGCCCCCTTCGAGCTCGCTGGGTTGGGGCTCGAGGTCAAAAAGGCGGCCCAGTGACTGCTGCTGACTAGCGTTGCAGTCTAGCTTGGAAGGTGCCGCTTGGTAAGGGTCTCTGTTTTGCAGCTTGCATGTTCTACTGTCCTACAGCAATCCTCAGGAGTTTGCGCTCCCCTACACCTTGGCCATGTACTTGATCGGCGGAGGCGCGGCCCACCTGTGACTTCGTGTATGTTCGAGGCAGACGGTTCTTGCAATCGCTCCTTGGCGCCCTTCTGTTGGCTGATGCAGCTGCTCCTGCGTCGCCCTCCTCCTCCGTTGCTTCTGCCGCTGTTGCTGCCGCCATTGAGACTTGTGGCGCCGTTGCTGTTGCTCTTGCTGCCGTTGCCGCCGTCGCTGCTGCTGCTGCCGCTCCCGCTCCCGCTCCCGTTGCTGCTGCCGCTACACGAATGGAGCGGACCACGATCATTGCCACTGAACTCTGCCCGTGCGTGCTGCTACAAACTAAGGAAAATTGCAAGGCTTGCCCCGCTGTCACCATGGCTACTGCCACGAGTCATTAATTACATGTCGTGGGTTTCTCAACCTAGCATTCACACCATCTTCATGCATATCACAATTGGTCGTTATGGTGGTGACACCACCATCATCATCACCATGATGACCATGATCATGATCATGATGATCATCATCATCACCATCCTCGTCCACGTCCTCGTCTTTGTCCTCGTCCTCATCTTTGCCCTCGTCATCGTCCTCGTCCTCTTCCTCGTCGTCGTCGTCCTCCTCCTCCTTTATCATCACCATCATCACCATCATCATCATCATCATCATAAACATGGACATCAACATCAGCAGCAACATCATCAACACCACCACCATCATCATCATCATCGTCATCATCATCATCAGACCACCACCATCAGACTATCGCCATCATGATCGATATCGTCGTTCGCTGTCATCATCGTACCAGCAAGCTCATGTCAAAAAAATCCTTCGACGCGCCATGCGCAGACCCAAGGCTGAAGTCTAAAGTGGGCGCCAGGCACGGCTGGAACAATTCTCTTCATCTTGAGCATCCTGATCTTTATGGGTATCAAAGCGAAGCGCCCGGGCTGCGAGTTGGGCCTTGGGCCTCCGGCGTTGAGGCTTTGGCTCCCTTCAGACGTTCAGGTTGGGCCCCGTGTTCGGGAGCGACACGCTTCAGGGATCAGGCGCTGAGGATTGCTGCAGCTCTGTGATGATAAACTTCGAGGTGTTCCGCCAGCCAGGACAGAGAGAAGCGATGAACGGCTTCCTATAAGGGATCCATAGGAGTACTACAGGGGTTTAGGAGTGAGCAAGCAAGAATGCAAAAGGTCCAGAGACGCAGACGGACATGCACATGCACGCTCACAGGAACAAGCAAACGTGCACATGCACACGCTCACGAACATGCACATAAATTGACATGAAAAGCCTCCCATGCACGGCCGGTCCTGTCCGAGAGATGAAATGCCCGTGCAGGCATCCAGCCCAAAGCCTGACCGAACTACGCAGCCTCTCTTGAAAGTAAGGTACCGCATCACGGAGAGCTTGCCAGTCACGCTGGTCAAAGCCGTGTGTTGCATCTGCTGCTTCCAGGTCCAGGCGTCGACAGCATCGGAAATAGTAAGAGCGAAGCAGAGAGTGAGAGAGAGAGAGAGAGAGAGCGGACATCCGCTCACAATCATATGTCGAGCCGGGGCAGACACCCAAAACTTTCGTTTGCTTTATGTTGGTGTCGAAACCCTGGAAAATATCTCACACTCCTTCCAATGCCCCATAACACGTGGGGGGGCCGTGGTGCCCTTGGATTTGACAGATTCTCTATGCCCGTTGAAAGCACGGTGTAGGGGGTAACCCCTGCACCATAGCCCTGGCGGAGAGAGTGAGCGACACTAAACCCTACAAGAGAGTACTCGCATGTACTCGCCACGAGGGGACCCGAACGAAGCCCCGTCTCGGTCTGCTAAAAATCGCCCCGCTTGAAAGGTTAAGGATGCAGCTACATAATATAATATGAGATAAGAGAATGCAATATACTGTGACAGCGTACCATAAGATACTATAACGTAATAGTTGACTGTAAGCAAAGATAAATTATAAGAAAAAGAATATGATCCAACACAATACAGCATAATGTAAGGTCACTCCGGCTGCTCGGGTGCAGACCATGATCTGGCAGCGCAACCACCAAGATTCGACTCTAACCTCGGATTTTTCAACTCCAAGCTGGCAACGCGAAGACTCGAATCACCTCATAGAGCCCTGGGTTTAGGGGTTAGGGTTTAGGGTTTAGGGTTTAGGGTTTAGGGTTTAGGGTTTAGGGCCCTGAACATAAGCCCTGACTCGGAATGCCAAGTTCTTCCGGCACCCAAAACCAACGAAGCGCGCAGATCCTACGACATGCCGATGCCGTTGAGGGCCTTGTGGGTGCACCAGTGGGGGTGTATGGAAGCTTGGATGCGAAAGCGCAGTTTAATAGAAGTTATGCGGGAGTTTCCGAAAATTAGGGGTTCCCCTATTTCTGGAAACTCCCATGTGCGGGTTTGAAAGGTGCAGTAGGGTCTGCCAGGGTTTAGGATTCAGGTTTGTGAGCTCGCTTCCCGTCAGGATTCAGATTCCACGGGGACCGAAGGAGCTCACGCAGCATGGGTCCCTATACCTTAAGCCCTAAACCCTAAACCGTATTGTAAGTGCTCACTAAGGATCTTGAGAAGACTCCTCTGGGAATACAAGACTGTAATCCTACATCCCAGCGCCTGGAGTCCGAAAAACAGAATCCTAAACCCGCGGGGTTCCGACTTCCGACCCCTGGAGCCCTCAACTCAACACCTCCAAACCGCGAAGCCCGACACTTTTTACTTCAAACCCCTGAAAGCCCACGAAGGATGAGCATCCCCAGTGGGTCGAAGCAGCTCGAGGAGGCAATTTACAGAAAGGTCAGAGTTTTGGAAAGGGGAATCTGCGTGCAGGGTTGAGGGTTTGGGGTTGTGCTGTGGCTGGTGCTGATTCTGATTCTTTAGTGCTGAGCCTGTGCAAGTTCGTAAATCTACGGCAATCGCCCTTTCTGCTGCTGCCGCTGCTGCTGCTCGCGTCGTCGTGATCATTATGATCGTCATTCTGTTAGTACATTGACGGTGTGTGTGTACACCATATCATTCTGGCCTAAACCCTAAACCCTAAACCCTAAACCCTAAACCCTAAACCCTAAACCCTAAATTGTGTTTCAAGGGAGGGCGCGTTGCAAGGATGTCATGGGGTCGGGGTTACGTCGCAGTACCTCCGAAGTCCGAAGCCACACGCTCCTTTGTAATGTTGGGGGATGGCAGCTCTGCGGCACAGACGAAACGTATGGATTCAGGTTCGTTCTGCTGTGAGAGGGCATCCTCACGTCCTCTTCTTGTCATCGGATGCTTTTGGGTGCTGCTTCGGCATGGCCGTGTGCTTGTCCCAGACTTGAGGTCCTGTCATAGTTTTGCAGCAATCACGGCTGTTCTTGTCTTTGACCTTCCCACAAGGTTCTGCCGCCGAGTTGCCATCGGAACGGAAAGCGAGAATTGGATGCGACCACGCTTGGGCCGGGCTGAGCAAAGATGAAGCCCCAGACACGGGCAAGAGTCGCAGATACCCCATTAAGTTCGGAAAGCATTTCTTTACGTGGAAAAGAGGCTGGAACTGTAGAGACAGAACAGCACTGCCGAGTCTCCATGCTGGGTTGCAGGGGTGTCTGGGCAAGCCCCAATGCAGTGACGCAGCGGCTTCCATCATCAAGCAGCTTTCAGCACGATTGTCCTTCTGGCGAGTGCTTCAGCATAGTCGGTTAGGCACCTCCTGAAAGGGACTGGCTAAACTGTGGGCGGGTTTCACTTCCCAGAGGGACAATGCGTGTTCATAGAAGGATATGCCTGTGCGGTGATCTGCTCATTCCCCACCGCTCAATTCCAGTCTGCCTCTATCAGCATGTGCAGATCACCGCCATGGTTGCGCAGGGTATTTCACTTCGCTGCTTTGATTTGTACCTCGTAGAATGCGAAGAAAGGCGGTTGCCTTCGACAGGTTCCACATGAGTCGCAAGGTGAATTGCAAAACAAGCAAAAGCAGATTGCAATAAGTGTGATTTTCAGAAGCACGATTCTCAGAGCCGCGGCCCCCCAACAGCACGAACCAGCAGCACCAGCGCTTGTTGCAGTGCCAGCAGTGGCACGACCATCACCGTCACCGTCGACGTCGTCATCACCACCACCACCATCATCACACTACCACCATCACCACCATTTTCACCATCATCACCATAACATCACCACCACCATCACCACCGCCATCACCATCACCATACCATCACCACCGCCATCACCATCACCATCGCCATCACCATCACCATCGCCATCGCCAGCACCAACAGCAGCACCATCACCAGAGCCATCGCCATCGCCATCGTCATCGCCATTGCCATCATCATCATCATCATCATCATCATCATCATCATCACCATCGTCATCACCAGCATCATCACACCATGATTGGCCTCATGGTCATAATGGCCATGTTGGTCGTCATGGTCATTAACAACGGTCAAAAACGATGAGTGTCTCTGCTCATGTTCCTAACGTCAGTCAAGCTGCCAAGATTATTGACGGTGTTCTGTCAAGTTTGTAGGCCATCTAGTCAATCTAGTCATCAGCAGTTCTTGGCAGGAAGACTTTTCTGGTACGTCCGTCCCTAAACCTAAACCCCTAAACCCGTAAACCGCAAGGAGCTGCGCCGCGCAGAGCCGGCGACAGCAGCTCGGCGCTTTGCAGCGGCGCGTGAAGGCCGCTTGGAGTTTGACCAGGTCGCGCCGCCTGGCCGAAGCAACATAAAGGTGGAAATAAAGACAAGATTCTTTAATTATGCCCTCATGGTCCCCTCATCATAGTCATAGTATAACGACCCCCAAAACTCTGTTTGAATGAGAAAGCCCTCTACATTGCTGACGTCTATATTGCTAAGAGTCCAGCGGTTGGGGGGGTGTGGGACTGCTCCAGGCTCGCGGTCGCAGGATTTTAGGCCTTACCAAATTAGCACGAAGAGCCGAACTCGCTGGGTAATTACGTCGTCAAAAGCCACGGAGCAACAAGCAGGCCGCTACGCGCGGTCCCGGCGTCGGCATCGTGGTTAAGTTAAACCTGCACCCTAACAAGCTACTGTAGTATAGTCGTGTCTTACAGCAAAGATTCTCCACTCAGGTACGGCGTCCTCGTCAATGCATGTGCCCGGGGCCACCTCTGGCAGGAGGCATTGCGCTGGCTGGAAGCTGGGGCTTGCAAGTGCAACAGCATGAGTGATAGGCCTAGTAGGTCCGACATGCCGGTACTTACAAAGATGTACACGGAAAACAATGCTTCAATGCAAGCAGAACGCGGCGTGTATGTACGCGTATATACATGTATCTGTGTGTGTATAGCCCTCACAGGATCCTCTCAGCACATGCCCTTAAGCCTTAAGGCTGTATTTGGGGGGGATACCATGAGGGGGCGAGACGGGGGGGGAGGGTGTGCGCCCAGAGCGCACTGCGCACAACCATACTTGGTTTGTTTATGCCAGTCTGTCTCAGCATACCAGGCCTACCTGCCTGCCTGGATGCGCGTAAGTAAGTAAGTAAGTATGTATGTATGTATGTATGTTTACATGTGCTGTAAGGTGATGTACTACTGTAAAGAACAGTAGTGTACAGCAATGCAATGTCTTTTTATGTATTGTATACACGTGACGTATGTAATGTTGTGTCTGCATGTAATGTATGCATGTTGTGTTTGTATGTACTGTAACGTAGGCGTAATGTGCTGCAGTGTAGTGTAGGGAAGTCTATTTTAACGTAATGTAGTGCAATGTGAAGTAATGTAACGTATGTATGTATGTATGTACGTATGTAAGTATGCATGCATGCACGCATGTCTTCAATCGATTCATGTGTGATGGATGGATGGATGGATGGATGGATGGATGGATGGATGGATGGATGGATGGATGGATGATGGACGGATGGATGGATGTGTGTATGATGTATGTACATACATGTTTATGTACATATGTATTTGTGTATGTATGTATGTATGTATGTATGTATGTATGTATGTATGTATGTATGTAATGTATGTATGTATGTAGGCATGTATGTGTTTATGTATTTATGTGTGTTTATATGTGTATATGTATGTCTGTATCACAAACGTACGTACGCACATACGTACGTATGTATGTATTCTGACAGCCAGCCGAAACTGCGCAGCCACTCAAACTGCCCACTAGCAAACGAATCTCTGATGTGACTTTGAAGGCTTGCACTGATCAGTCCACTTCCCGAGTTAGTGTACCGCTGTTTACTTCAAGCTAGCCTTTTGCACAGGCTGAGCCCATTGTATGAACGGTTTGGACCTGTTGACTACGCAGACCCGGCACAGTCCACATCTCTACGGAGTCATGTGGCACGGAGAACCAAGTAAACTGATGTGATTGAAGGTAGTTTCAAACCCTAAACCCTAAACCCTAAACCCTAAACCCTAAACCCAAAACCCAAAACCCTAAACCAAACTGTGTAGCATAGCCAGATGCTCTCCAATACTTGGTCCCGGACCTCGCTGACGACAGCCGCCTTCTTTATCCAAAGTCCACATCGCAAAAACAGTCCTGCATGCCGCTTCCTCTGCCCCAAAGCCCTAAAGCGCTAAAACCCTAAAGCCCTAAAACCCTAAAGCCCTAAAACCCTAAAGCGCTAAAACCCTAAAGCCCTAAAGCCCTAAAACCTCAAATCCCTGAAGCCCTAGAGCCCTAAAGCCCTAAAGCCCTAAAGCGCCAAAACCCTAAAGCCCTAAAACCCTAAAGCCTCGAAACCCTAAAACCTCAAAACCCTAAAGCCCTAGAGCCCTAGACCCCTCAAGCCCTAAAGCCCTAAACCCTAACACGTCACTTTGAAAGACACCACGCTTCAGCGCTCCTCGGCGCTCTGAGGAAGATCTCGCAGATCAGTTCCTTCGCTCCGAGACCGGGCTGAAGAGAGGGAGCAAGAAGGTGTTTTTAGGGTTTAGGGTTTAGGGTTTAGGGTTCAAGGTTTAGAGTTTAGGGTTTAGGGTAAGGCTTTTTGGGTTGGCGGTGGGGTTAAAGTTGGAGGGTTTCGGCATTGGGGCCCGGGATTTGGCTTCCAGGTTTAGGTTGTTTATCCTCACGTTGTTTCCTTCAGTGCAGCACAGCACATCTAGAAAGGGGTATTGTAATGTAGCAGTATAGTATGGAGAGTACAGTAGGTCTATAGTACGGCTCGTCATTACAAAATTCACCGCCCTCTGCGGAAAAGATGCAACGAAAAGAACCTATGACCCGCAGAATCCCAAGGACCCAAGGCTTTTCCGGAGAATGTGGGCTACGTGCAGTATGATCGTATAAAGTCTGTATTGAGTCTATTGCCGACGGTAGACAATGCATAATTTAGAGTCTCGAAGCTTCGTCAATAGAGGTGGGAATTGGGGTTAAGATGTCAGCGTGGAAATGTAAAAGATCGGGTCGATGCGTCTGGACTGGAACATTTTTCCCATTGATAGCAAAGGATACGATCATCTTCAACTCTGCCATCACGGCCTGCGAGAAGGGGAGGCAGTGGCAAGCTTCGCTTTGCCTTCTCGAGCGGCTTGACCGACCTCTTAGTGGGTTGTTCTGGTCTTCCGTTGCTTCGGTGTTGCAAACGGTCTCCCAAAGCAGGAAGCTTCGGTTGTCTTGTGCGAGGAACATTTGATGTCCCAGTGCTGGCTGCAGGTGGGGAGTTTTGTAAAGAACGAACTTGTGCCGGTTGCTGAGTCCCCTGCAGTGGCTCGCCCAATATACCGAAATCCCATACGTCCTTCCTTGGCCTTTGGCTTCTC